TGTGCCACCCACCCCACACTGCAGTTTGATCTGGAACTATCAAAAAACAGGTCAGCCTTACAATTTCATACAATTTTGTTTTTAGATTTTATCACATAATGATTGTTTTTTACTGATCTTTTTTATACAGATTGTTGCAGTGTGGGATGATTCAGTTAATTTATTCCAGTTGTCTGTTCAGGATGAATTGATCTAAAAGTGAAAGAATTTAATTTTGGCTGATTTTGGCTTTATATTATATATATTACACTTTTGTGATATACATTCTTATATGTATCACAAATAGCTGACAATGGAGCTTTGTTGAATTTAGCTTTGGACTAGTCCTTTTAATGTCTGGGTTTTAGTTTCTGATTTAATATTTTTAAGTAGGTTACATTTTTAGTACATCTTCTGGTTGATGCTTTTTTAGCATTCTGTAAAGTATTTACCTGTTTATATTATATCCATTCAATACAATTTACAAATTTTAACTCCAACACTTCAAACTGGAGTGCTTAATTTAACCCTGTCTGGTTGTTGTTTGCATATATAGTTTGTTAGCGAGGCCCGGTGTTATATGTGCTTTCAAACGTAACATTCGTAATCTGCTGCCTTGTAAATGGTCTCCGAGCATGTGGACGCTGCTGCAGGGTGACGGTGGTGTGAATGTGGCTGACCATCTCCTGGATGATCCCAAAGACTGGTGTGTGCAAACACAATGAAAACAAAGTGAATTAAGCAGATTAAAATCTAGTGCACACAGCAGGACAGAATCAGGAAGCACAGTTTTATGTTTAAAAAACCCTTAAACTCTAGGTTTTGTGCTGACTGAACAGCTGAGTGCATGAAACTATAGCAACATCTGTGAAGGGTCCATCACTCACCATGCCTCATTATTGACTTTCAATTATTGATCCTGGAGCTGGTGGCATTTATTTTGAGAGACATATTGGGTGATATAATACTTTTATAATCATAATTATGTTTTATCCTCACAGTGCACATGTTTATAATGGTATTTGATCTTGATTTAACAATTTCACACCATTACTTTACTACTGACATATTGTCTTTGAAATTGGTCGCTTACAATTACAAGCAGTCAATTGATGGACTCTTGCTTTCCTGTGGCCCTTGTCAGCACATACTTCAACACAGAAAATACTGAAATATTAATTCAAACCTGTGTTGATCTTATAATAAAGATCAATGACTTAGAAAAATTAAAAAGGTTATTGCATAAACAATTTCCATGCTACCTTGACTTCATTTAGTAGGGAGCTGCTGGAGGCTTTTAGTGGAGGGGGCGAGAGGCTCCAGTCAGTGCTCCTACGATACAGTAAATTACTCACCCAGCTGTAAGCTGCTGATGCTCAGCGTTAATGTTTTTATCATAACCCACATCAAATGTTAATGATTTGCAACCACCGGGGCTTCCTGCCTCATCTCAGACCTTTTATCATGCAGAGCTTGTGCTCACTGCATGGACTCCATTTACAGCCCTAAACACACAGAGTTGTTTTTTAATATATTGTTCAAGACCACTGTGCATTTTGGCTTTTACTATTAGTACTTGAAATGTAGGCGAGTTATTGTGTGTTAAAAATAACAATATTAAGGTTTTATGATGGCAACATGTGAGGTCACTTCTAATCTTTTAGAGGCACACTTTTAATCTCACAGAGCAGTGGTGTAATCCTGTGATTTGCTAGAGCTAGATTTGATACATTGCTACCTTTGATAAGTACAGTGCATTTTCAGACATCATTTCAGCAGGTGTAGAGGTGTGCGACTGTGGTGATTCAAATCCATTTGTACTGTCTTAGGTGTGTATAGGTGGTTATCGCTGGTGGCAGGTGGCATAATTCAGGAGGGGGGCGCCATAAGTATATTTATTTGTGTGATTTTATTATCTACGCCACAGCCAAAAGAAATTTTACACGAAGACAGCCCTCTACATGATCCACCAATTGCATCAAGCTTTAACTCATGACATGGTTAAAACTATAGTAAAGATGAGACATGTTATTATAAACGCACATGGCACACATCAGCCATTCATGTAACTTTTGTATTTAAATTTCATTTGTCGCCTCAATGACTCTGAGAGCTTTGGTGGTGGCGCTAGTGAACCTCCGATCTTGTGCTGCATGGTACCAGTCAGTGCTATAGCTATTTTTATAAGTGTGTCTGTATTACGTGAGTCTTGTCTTTAGGTGTTTGTTCTCTTGTTCGGTCTGTTGTAGTGTGGACATAGAAGTTGAATAAAGAAATCATGACAAAAACCCCATCTGCAGACCGTCATACCTCCAGCTCATTTAACACTTTTCTACTACAAAAAACATCAAATTTGGCCAAATTTAATAAAATAATGTGCCACCAAAATGCTTCTCTTACATTGCCCTGATCGGCATTCGTGTGACCCTGTCTTGTTAATCACAGGGGTGTCTAAACTTTATCCAAGCGGGATCTTCTTTTCCAGCATCCAGTGTGCTGTGACCTACCTCTGTCTTAAGTAGTGGTGTAACCATTCAGAATACCACCATTTGTCATGATTTATTGATCCCCATGTGAAATATTATGAATATTTTGTCTAAAATTCAATTCTGTTCTTTTCAAAAAGAAGGAAGTAATTTATGGTCCTAAATCTGAATCAATACAATATTGAATAATCCTTCAAACCCGGTTGTGAGCATGGGCATTTATTTTGATTTAAAGTGGAAATAGCCATTGGCCAATAGCCAATAGCCAATAACCTAACTTCAGCTGATATACTGTGGTACATCCTGATTGAACCATGTTTAATTACACAATGATTAAACAAAAGTTAGAATCGAAAATGAATTATATTGACTTGTACCTGTAGTAGTGTTGACGTAGTGCTTGTAACTTGGGGTAGTGAAAGTCACATTTTACTCGCAAATAAATAAAGGTTCTTTTGTGTGAGAGCTTCACCGACGTATTGTTTAACGTTGAATTGACAGCTTATGAATACATTTAAAAGGCTGTTTTTTGTGAGCATATCATCCTTAACCAAGATTCTCGGTAAAAATCTCAAATGTCATAGATCATTTAAAAATGTATAGAATTTATACATGTTGTACTATATGTTATGGGAATTGCCCTTTCTGTGTCTCTTGTACCCCATGAAATGTACACAATGAACATGTGTGATCCTTGTTTGACTAAGACTGATTCAGTGACGGAGGCTCTGCTGGCACGAACAAGTACAAAACCATAAAAGGCACCTGTGTTGTGCATGGAACTCATCACTTGTCTAATGCTGGTATTTTTAAATCGGAATGTTCCCTCCTCTACAAATAGCGATACCTAAATGAACATAAATGCGTTGATAATTATAGTTCCAGATGTCTGTCCTAGTCAAGTCCTCTTCATTCTGCTCAAATCTAGTCCAGGCTGCTTTACAAAGTATTATTGATGCTGTGGGCCAAGATGCAGTAACAGGCTGTGAGCTGTGAGCGTCCTTTAAGCAATCACTGGTAAAATTATACAATATTACAGACATGCTTTTCTGATTATGCAGTTACAGTGGAACAAACAGTAAATGATTATTCTGGGTATTTCATCTAAAACTGTATGTGTGTTTCCTTAACCTCAGCCACAAAAATCACTTTTTAATAATTATTGATATGATGCATCATTCAACATATTTTGATTACTATAGAATGTCTGTGTTTTTGGTGTTTCCACTTCTTCAATCTCCAAACTTATAAGGACATACAATGTGTACTAGACTTAAAAGACAAACTTTTAACACTTTTTTTTTGACAAAGTGGAGCGCTCGTTGGGATATATTTAATATTGATAGTCACTATGGAAAATTCTGTGTTGGTTTCATTTTTATTTGTTATTATTTTGCATTAAATACAGCTCTTTTCATCAAATTGGGATCTAAATTCATCAGATTTTCCATCAGAGTGTTCTGTGTAAAAGTTTTCAAGTTGATTAATATGAGGCCCATTCTTTTAAAAGGAAAATGAAAAAATACAACTTATCATCTGCAAATTACGAAGAAATTGAGGAACTTGAATTTGGCCCTACTCCTGTTAAATAGTGAATACTTTCAAAATGTAATGTAGTGTCCTCTGACATGTTGAGCGGCTGTTACTGTAACACAAGCAGTTCCGGAGACAGTTTTGTGCTGTACATCATTCTGGGACTGTTTTCACACACTCGTCTAAACAAGATGTCGATACCTTTTGTCTGGAAGAACATGCAAGGCTACAGAGAAGCAGGGAAATGTGATACTCGTGTCACAATTGTCTGGAGCTTTTGATAGAAGGCTTTATACTTTTTAGTGATTTGTGTATTGGGTGAAGACTCAGAAAAAATCCCTAAAGAAGCAATATATTGCAGCCCAGTGGACACAAAGAAAATGTATTTTGGACTAATCACACATTGCATTTGAACTAACACTTTACCCTATTATTCACTATTCATACCTAAAAAGAAGCCAGTAATTGAAGTAATTCATAGTTTTACAGTATGTGTTTGGTGATACCAGGGACGTAGGCAGAAATTTTGAATAGGGCGGGCCTGGAGAAAAGTGGGCGGTCCAACTTTTGCGAGAGGAAAAATCTATATGATATCCAATAATACCTAGCAGACGTGCCTCCTCGGTTTGACAGCTTTTAGTGATACTACCAGGCTCACTATTTTGCTTGCTTTGTTCACATCCTTTTATCAAGGCAGACTCACCCTGATCCTGGTGACTCATTTGTGCTTTATGGGGCTTCATAATACTTCCTTTAATACTGGAACCAATCAGAGGTAAAATATCTTCACCCTAGATACGGAGCACTGATGACAGCTGTGATTTATGGGCCCTTTTTTATTCCTGCAGAAACTTGTCACTTACAAAATTAAGGATATGCTTCAGAGAGCTTATTTGAATTTTAGCAGAATATGTAAATTATTTTGTTCCTGACAAAAAAAAAACATGTTTTCAGGTTTTATAAAATAATGAACGGTGTGTCTCTTTGTTTTGTTGATTACAGAAAACGAAGCCCATCTGCATCCAGGGATCCAAACCAAAAATACGACCAAAGGGAGGGGGACCACTCACAGTATGCCCCGGAGGACGGCGGCATGCCCAGATCACCGTCCGACTATGGGGATGGGGTCCCTCGGCGCGGGCGGGGCTCGCACTTGTACCCAGATGTGGATGCAGCAAGAATGGGCTACCGGGACCGAAGGGGTCCGGTCCGCTGGCACTCACAGGAATACCCTCTGGACCAGGACCTAGATGGCCCTCCCACTGAGTATGAGCTGCAGAGGCAGCGGCAGGAGGAGTACCAGACCCGTTACCGCAGTGACCCCAACCTGGCCCGTTACCCCGTCAAACCCCAGCCGTATGAGGAGCAGATGAGGATGCACGCAGAGGTGGGGCGGATGAGGCACGAGCGCCGCCACAGTGACGTTTCACTGGCCTACACAGAACAGGATGAACCTGGACCCATAAGACTGTCCCGTCAGCACCTCACGGAGCGCCGGCCGCCCATGATGGGACAGCGGTCCTACTCAGTCGACCGATCCTCCCCAGGGCCCATGGGTCCTGGACTTGGAGGTCACAGCCCCCCTACCCCTCATCGCAGCCCTGTGCTGGGAGACCGGTCTGGGGACCTGCGGAGAGGGGACCTGAGTGACCCTATGAGAAGGCATCATCTGGACCCTAGCTCTGCTGTCAGAAAAACCAAGAGGGAGAAGATGGAGAGTATGTTAAGGAACGATTCACTTAGCTCAGACCAGTCCGAGTCGGTACGGCCGCCGCCTCCAAAGCCCCACAAAACAAAAAAAGGTGGTAAAATGCGGCAAGTGTCTCTGAGCAGCTCTGAAGAGGAGCTGGCCACTACCCCTGAGTACACAAGCTGTGAGGATGTGGAGATCGAGAGTGAGTCCGTCAGCGAGAAAGGTATGAGAACCTCACATCCATCTGTTCTGTTTTCAAAGTTTGACATTATGTGTGATTAGTGAATTATTTCATTGTAATTTTCTATCGTACTGGAAATGTTTAATGTCTTGTTTCCATTAATCCAGCGCAGCAGTGTTTATGGAGACCTCTGCTTCAGTGTTTATTTGTTTCCATGTGTGTGACTGCAGTCAAAAGGCCTCATATCAAGTGCTTGCTCACAAACTAAAGTTATTCGCACCCCTTAACATTGGAGCAAACTCATTTAACATTCACATGTTCTATCAAACTAAATTAAAATTGCACACAATATTTTAGTTTGCTCCCACGATTCAGCACTTTTTTTGCTGAGAAGCTTGAGTGCTAACCATTCTGCCTCCGTGCCAGCCAGATGCCGTGTATGATTGTGTGACCTGTGGAGTGTCTGTACAAAAACTGAATTAATTAAGCTACAAAAATACAAAGTCAACATAGACACAGATGTTCTGTACTGTTCGTACAGTGTGTGGTTTAAGCACTTTGAATGTTGAGACAGATAGTGTGAGCTCATGGAGCGGTCAGAGACAAAGATGTCTCATCCAGGACTCCTACACAAGGAGCTGCTTTTGGACTTAAGGAAAGATGGGACAGACCTGTTGAATGTACTTTGATGTGGAACACTGCTGTTCAGAGGAACATGAGTGAATCAGAGCCAACGGGGTCACAGGCAAGACTTTTGAGTTTTATTTTTGTGAGATCAATATTTTCTTTTAGTGCTCACAATGCAGCAGCTGTCTTGTACAAGTTCACAGAGTTTCTCTACCATTTATTATCAACGTTTCAGCACTTAGTCCTGATAAGGATTTCTGCATGCCCTGAACCGATTAATAGGCCCGTCCTCCACTTTCCAATTAAGACTCTTTCGTACCACTCTGTGCATATTTCATGATATGAACCTGAGCATGCATTCAAAACCAGCATGCCAAGAAAACCTATCCACAACAAACATGGCGACACAAGTGAACAAGGTGAACTACACACGGGTGTACAGGGCAGATCCATGGGCTCAGAGGCAGACACACAGAGCGCTCTGAAGCAAAGATGTGGACAATGAGCCAGGTCGCTGCCTCACAGTGCCCCAAACGCTTGGCTAATGTAATGCACCGTTAGAGCTCCATGGAGACGAATCAAACGACGCAGAGATTTGTGCACATGGCAGAAGCCTTCGTATGTTTCTGTATGCGCCTGGTACGGTGAGCCTTTAGCCAAAACATGAACAAAGTCTTTTACTATGTATGATCAGCGTCAAACACCAACGCACAACTACTGACATTTATGTACTTGTATACCATTGCTAATATCATACAAAAATATAAAACTTAAAATATTTAAACTACTGTCCTGAGAAAAAATTCCAATGATCACAAACTTATTTATTACAATGTTATAAGTCTTGTTTAACTATTGATTTAACAGATTTAGTCATAACATCAGTTTAATTATAGATGACTGAAAAAAGAGATGCAGTTAATAGACCAACATTGTTCAAAAAAGACAAAGTTTGACATTGTTTCCTCCTGTTATAGAACTCGTCTGAAGGCACTGGGTTGGCCGGCTCTGTTATGTAACTGTTCTCGAAAGAAAAGCGGCGCAGGCCTAGCAGTGCATTATTGATGTGGGAGTTTCTTGGTTTCTAGGTAGCAACCAAATGGAAATAGGTATGGTAAGGATTTGTGTTTGTCTTGTAGCAGGGAAGATCAACTCAGCATTGATTTACTCTCAGAAGGATAAATTGGTATATTACTACATTATTTCTATGTAAAAAATGTTGCCTCATTCTTGATCACGTCTTATGTGCAGCTTTGCTTGGAATCACGTGTTATATATATGTTACACTAAATCTATGACTTAAATAGAACTTCAGTATATTCATTTTGTTTTTATTTCTCCATAATTCTTTTTTGCTCTCTTTGTTAGCTTGGTAGCAGAGACTAATATGTTTTTTTCTAAATGAAATAGGCACAGATAATAAATAAAAATGAAACAATATAAGGTATATGCAGCCCAGTAATATACAATTAGATAAGATATTTTAAGTCTTCAAGGGGGAAATCAGCCCCACAGCTGCAAACACGGTGTGGCACAAGCGGTGAGCGCTTTTTCTTCCTCAGCAAAAAGGTCCTGGATTAGAGATCCCTGGATCAAACGGGTCTTTCGATGTGGAGTTTGCATGTTATCCCCATGTTGGAGGTTTATTTTTGGACGCTCTGGTTTCCACTACCACTCAAAACATGTACAATAGTTTAGGGGGAATGAGTGTGTGTTTATGAGTGTGACAACAAATGCAAATTTGCCCAAAACTCCATCTGTATGTGTCCTATGTGTCCTAAAATTTCGACTTTAAAAGTCAAAATTACGACTTTAAAAGTCGAAATTTTGACTTTTAAAAGTCAAAATTACGACTTTTAAAAGTCAAAATTACGACTTTTAAAAGTCAAAATTTTGACTTTAAAAGTCAAAATTACGACTTTAAAAGTCAAAATTACGACTTTAAAAGTCAAAATTTCGACTTTAAAAGTCAAAATTACGACCCTTAAAAGTCAAAATTACGACTTTAAAAGTCAAAATTTCGACTTTAAAAGTCAAAATTACAACTAATTTTGACTTTTAAAGTCGAAATTTTGACTTTTAAAGTCGAAATTTTGACTTTTAAAGTCGAAATTTTGACTTTTAAAAGTCGTAATTTTGAGTTTTAAACTCAAAATTTTGACTTTCTGTTTGCTTTTTTTTTTTTTTACATGGCGGAAACGGGCTTCCATAGTGTCCCAACCAAACAAACTAAAAAACTAAAAATCTCATGTTGTGTAAATTCTGCACATAACGAGAGTAAAATAATGTAAACAACTCAGAGCTGTAATTCCAAACAAAGTGTGAGTTTATTCATTAGTAAATGTGCACAATTACAATGAATAACAGAACTGATACCAATACCACCGGGCAGCCGTCTGAAATCGACTGCCACGATTGAGGAAATGACTGTACATTAAATAGACCAGAGTAAACAAACACATATCTACTCTAGATATTACATAAATGAAGTCAACATTGATATGTGTTGCTCAAGGCTTCTCTTTACACGTCCTAACGCTGATACAACTCTGATATATGTAACAATCTGCTTTTGAACTGAACATATTGTTCTATGACCCAGGTCAAAGACATGATGCAGCACGTCTCTATCTATCACTGACCTGCTGCCAACAGAGCATTATGGCCTGTATCTGAATCCAGAGTTGACTATTAGTTAATAACTTACACTCATAACTATTTGGTGTTAATTCAGGTTGCTTTACTAAAATATTTCTATAACACTCATTTAACTTTTTTCAATCGATTGTCAACACGACGCAGTTAAGAATGCAGGCTATTTGGTGGTCCCAATCTTCCTCCTGAAATATTAAGGAATGACAAAAACAACATGTAGTTGTCACAAAAAAGACATTCCTTGGACACTAGTTAAAATAAAGACACATCACCTGTAAAAGACCCATGGGATTTTGTCATAATGCATAAAAACAGATTTAACGGTCTTGTCTTTACTCTTTACTAGAGTAGGATAACGCTTCAGTGGTCATTGCATCCCCACTAAACATACAAATAAACTGTAAAACACACTGTATCAGCTCTAGCTATTATGTTCACATAATTTCTGCTTTCTCTACTCAAATTGTAGTAAAACACAGCTTCAGTAATTAACGATCCAATTAATAGTTTACACAGTTTTTTTTATTGAGTTGTCAGAGTGATGGAGAGGCCTCCACCTGAGTCAGCTCTTTGTGACTGAGGCCTGGGAGCCGGAGGGAGCAGCAGGAATGGTCTCACACTGCTGAAGCTCACATGTTTTGGAGATGATTTCCTGCTATCAAAAAAATCACAATCAGGCCAAATAACGTGCGGCCTATTGCTGACTTATTGGACATGATGTTTGGGAGTAGAGTCAGGAGACAGAGGACACTGAGCACACTGCTGGTTTAAACTTTAAGTTCATCCCTAGAAATACAAATCATATTAAAAACATCATAGATACAGTAGTTAGATAAATACATAGATAGATACTTTATTGAATACTGTTTGGAGAAATTCATCCATGAATACTGTTTGGAGAAATTCATCCAACAGCAGAAACACATCCATCCATACAAACAAATACATCATTCTAAAAGTAGCAATAGTAAAAATAAAAGTACATGTTATAATAATAGTGAAACCCTACATACATCAGATGTTTCTTTCTTTTTTCCCAGAGTGCAAATTCTCAACAACTGTAGTTTTAGAGGAGTTAGATAAAATAAGATAGAGATTTTTACAAGAAACAAGCAAAGGAATCATGTGTCAGTGCACTTCTTAATATTATTACATATAATTACACTACACTATTCACACCGTTTTTTTCTTTTTAACAAAATAGTGTAAAACCAGGTATTAAGAATATTACAATCTCATAAAAGCATCTGACAGAATCACAAAGAATTATTGGCGTAGATTGAGGATTGCCCTGTTTTTGTTGTATAGTGAAGCATTGAACACAGAGAGCTGGAGGGTGTTGGCTCCTGCCTGGAAGTGCAGGTGTGGTGCTCCGCTCTCGTGTCCTGGCAGCTGAGGATAATCACTGCTGTCAGACGATGGTGAGAGGCTCAGAGGGCACAGCCTGTCAGGGGACGTCCATGTTTCATCACTCCGCCTAATGTTTACACAAAGTATCTCAAGGGCACTTAGCTGATGAATGAACTTCAGTAGTAGCAGCTCTAAGGAAAACAGCGTTGCCATTTCTCGCTCATAGGGCTGTGCAATTAATCACTTGGATATCAATGAATCAATCAAAATACAATGAATTACCTTGTTGGTGATGTGCTTGCTCTTCTTTCAAAAAAAAAATGCTGAATCACTCTTCTCCTTACTTTTGAAACATGTTGTCACTTAAGAAAACTTTGGCGCTAAACGCAGTACTTGAATATTAATTAATTGTGTGGGCCTACATCTATTACTTAAGTACATGTTGACAGTTTAACATAGGATTTCTAATAGATTGTTTTTTTTAACCAAAACTTTAAACGTCCTACCTGATCCCTGCTTCTTGTAATAAATATGATAATGATTTGCTTGAAATTTGAAATGATTTTAGTGTTTTAAAAAAGACTTGGCTCTCAGCAGATATAACTTGAAATTTTGCTGATGCTTGTGTCCAATGTAAAAGGACTTTTTACTAACTAACTGCATAAATAGCCAGGTCACACATATTAAGGCAAAACAAACAAATCCTTGGATCAGTGTGAGGTCTGTGTGAGGTCTGTGTGAGAGGATGGGTGATACCACTGTTCTATACGTTGGTCTCTTTGTCAGATGTCTTTTTGTCGATGTTGTGTCCTCACTGGCCCCTCTTGCTGTACTCTCCTGTGTATTGCCACCACTTTACAGGAGATTTGGATGGCCACTGGTGGGACCATGCGTCATGGCATAGCAGCGAGGCGTCCCATATGTCTTTGGTGAGACATGCGGAGCCCTGCCTTGACCCCTTTGCCCTCATCTCTGTCCTGTCTCCCCACTCCCAAACAGTCTGTGTCATTTCATGGTTCCGTTGGTTTATTTACACCTTTGCATGTTGTTTTTCTGTTTTCTTTCTGTTTTTATCCCACACCTGTAGGGGACAGTCAAAGGGGAAAAAGACAAACTATTGAGCAGTCATTTATGTCCGAGCCGACACACACCTTATCTGAGAGGCAAAAGAAAATGGTGCGCTTTGGGGGACACTCATTTGAAGAGGACTTGTCTTGGTGTGAGCCACAGGTTAAGGACTCTGGAGTTGATACGTGCAGTAGCACTACGCTAAACGAGGAGCATAGCCATAGTGAGAAGGTACTGAGAATACTAGCTTGCATCTTATTATTTTTGTTTGCTCTGTCACTAAGTGTTAACAGGTCAGTTATTTGACTTTTGATTTTCTTTGGCATTTTTAAAATGGCATTTACTTGGCAATGTTTGTTTCTTATTTCATTTGTTTTTTCTTCACCTTGTTTGGTGATGGCCAAAATCTACTTGGAGCACCTTGCTTGCTGCAATAGTTGTAAAAGAATAGTTCCTCCCCTGTGTAACACAAGAATGTGGGTCTCTCCTAGTTGCATGCTCGTGGTCCTCCGTTTGTTGTGTTCTGCTCTGCTACGGTCTGTTTAGTGCCAAGGAACACTTATGCAGGATGTCCCTCTCACTGCTGCCCTTTCCCACAGCACCCAGCCCATCAGGAACTTGCTGCCTGTCCAACTTTCCACACTCTTTTAGCTAAAACCTTCATGGTTGGAGGCATTCAATATCGTAAAGATTGGATTTGTTTGCTCACTAAAAAATTGTTTTTCTTTTCCCCTTTCACTGCCACATCTCCAAGACATCCTCTGTCTGTCTAATGCTTAGTCTCTGCTCTTGCCTCCTTCTATCATGGCCATTCCTTAACTGACACTTTGGTGTTTTGAACATGTTTTCCCTCTCTGCTGTCTGCTCCCTACACTGCCCTGTGTGATGGTGATGTGTTTGTGTGGTGAAGTTTCTGACTTCACTGTGCTAGTCTGAGGAGGAGATCTGCTTGCTTTACTCTGCATGGGGCGCTGCATGACACTCACTCCCCCCTCACACTAGCAGGTTCCCACAAACTGTAAATTGCTCACAATCTTATCTATTCTTTTACTCCAGCACAAATATTTCAAATCAACAATTGAGAAACACTTCCTGACAGAGTTTGTGTGAACTATTTTAAAAGTCCCATCTCTTTGGACTGTATTATTATCATTTGAAGTGATTCCAGGGGATAAGCTGCTAATCAAAAGGTGTACTGTTGCCCTGACTTTGTAGCACCCGGTGACGTGGCAGACATCCAAAGATGGAGATCGGCTAATAGGTCGGATCTTGCTCAATAAGCGCATGAAAGATGGAAGTGTGCCTCGAGACTCAGGAGCTCTGCTTGGTCTGAAGGTAAGGGTTGTTACTTATTGCTCGTGGTGTTGGTTTAAGTGGCAAAGATTGCATGGAAACATAGGATTACATCAAACAGGTGATAAGGAAATAAAGAGGTTATGGGTGCATACTTTTTCTTTCTTAATATATACATTTAGAGTTTAATCACACTGTCCTCCTCCTTTATTGAGATGTTTTTAGTGTATTTACACTGTGGCATATAGAATGTGAATGACAATGACTTTATTTATATAAATTCTGTCTTATATTGTATACATGTATGTTCTTCCTTACTTTGAAGAACTTGCCCTTGTTGATTCGTCTTAAGGCATCTCAGTGGGGTAAACTTGAAAAATAGTGAAGACACTGAGGGGGTGGTTGAAAGAAGCGCAGAGAAGACCGAAGCGAGATGGGGAAAAATCATTACTGATTGAATGAGGCTTCTGAAATGGCATGTTTGTGTCTGCTTACTGCATTTCTGCAGCCTCAGCAGCAGCTCATCCAGTCAGTCTATCAGAGTATGCCTCGCCCTCACTGTCCATCTCTGCTCCTCCACGGGTCCATAGCTCCTGCCAGTTACATAAAGCCATTTCATTTATCAGACCTCCCTAAGCTCCTTTGTATGTTGGCATTCAGCTGCCATTAAGAGGGATTTTTATTTGTATGATTCTGTGTAAGCAGAGTGGAGGGGACTATACACAGCAGTTCAGCACAAGCCCAGCAGCCGGGCTCTGGAAAAATAGAAATCTGTATCTTTACATTACAGAAGCTGATCTTTTACCATGTGATATTCTGCATTATTTTGAGAAATAATAAAAATGGTCCTTTTTTATAGGTGGTTGGTGGGAAAATGACAGAATCTGGTAGGCTTTGTGCTTTCATCACAAAAGTGAGGAAAGGAAGCTTAGCAGACACGGTTGGACACTTAAGACCAGGTATGAAACACTATGTGCCTGCATCCTGAGCCAATAAAACATACTGTTTTACTGTTACAATTTTAACACTAATCTGCAATGTTGCATGTTACCTTATAAGTCGCATGCAAATGCTCAACATTTGAGTGGATTTTCCGTTACTCATAGCTTCTTGTATTTCTGCAGGTGATCAGGTGTTGGAGTGGAACGGGAAGCTTTTACAAGGAGCCACATTTAAAGAAGTTTACAATATAATTTTAGAATCTAAACCTGAGCCACAAGTAGAGCTTGTGGTTTCACGGCCTATAGGGTGAGAGGAATCACACATCCACAATGTCTTTATTTTCATGGATGTAGTGATGACAATGATGCTATTCCAACTTCTCACAAGTTTCCTCTTCCACACTTTTCAGAGATATTCCAAGGATACCAGACAGCACACATGCACAACTGGAATCAAGTATGTCTTATCATTTATTCAGCAATCAATCTGATTTAGTTTTTACTAACAAGGCTAAACATGAAATGTCTATCTAGGTTCGAGTTCTTTTGAGTCTCAGAAGATGGATCGGCCGTCCATCTCTGTCACCTCCCCCATGAGTCCCAGCATGCTGCGGGATGCCCCCCAGTACCTGTCAGGACAGCTCTCAGTAAGTCGCGTAAAAATCATAGTGTTTCTTTGCATTCAATTAATTTCTGTATCACAAGTCCAGAAAGAGCTGCATATTCAATCAGATGTGTGTTGTCCATTAATGGAATCATCCCACTGTTTTTGTTGGGACTATATAGAGGAAACAAACTATCCATCAAACTACAATATCAACTATTTGACTGCCATAGTGATTTTTGAAATATGTTGTTAGGGAAAAGAGTTAAAGTCTAAGAAATGTCCAGCTTTAATGTCCCATCTAAAAGTGTATACCTCTGTTGTTGTGTTTATATTGTATTGTAACTTTTTGTTTTTGTTTTGTGGGTTTTGGTTTTATTGCATTTTTGCTGTTTAATTTTGCTTATCCAGAGCCAAAGCCTTAGTAGAAGAACACCGCCTTTTGCCCCTAGGGTCCAGGTAATGGGCCCTGCCTACAGGGCACACTCTCTATTTGGTCTTTGCTCATTGACTGTGGACTGGTCTTTTATTTTCTCACATCTTTAAAATGCATTTCAGGGGAAATTAGAAATTCAAATTTCCCTCATGTTGTAGTGCATTTTCCATATATTTATCTGTTTATGGCTTCTATAAAAAAAATTATATTTATCTTGTAAAATGTGATAATTTACCCCTCATTACCTTTGTCTAACAAAAGTGCAACATATTTTCTCTGATGAGTTCCCTTAATATTCAAATTCTTATTATTGTTACAGTTACATATATTGACCACAATGGTTTCATGTCACAGCCAAAAGTTTTTGTTTTGAATATATTCTATAACGGCATATAATGAATAGGAGTAGTTTAACCATAAGCACATTGTACCCACTGTGCCTCTCCTCTGATATTCCACTGTTTGCAAATGACTTTCAGAGAAAGACTCTGACGGAGACCGTGCACAAGGTTTACTTGGTCATAACGTCCCCATGGCCATTGAATCTACTATTTCCAAATGTATAGATTTATTTTAGATTTAAGTATGATTTCATTGCTTATATAAAACGCAGTAGAAGGCAACAATGTCCAGGCTTTGAAATATACAGACGCCGATTTCTTAAAGGAGCAATTTGTAAAAGCCTGGCCAAAAGACTTTCTGCACTCTCCCTGACTCAGGTTGCCAGATATGTAGACGAATCCAGCTGGAACCATAATAGCTGAATAGAAAAGAGTTTTGTCAACAACAAATCTATAACCAACACAATCTATTACAAAGTAATTCCTGATAGAAATCCTTGTTTTATCCCTTGTTTTGTCATTAATCCTTTGAGAATCATAACAAGACCTTTTTTAGTTCTGCGGCCACATGTTACTTACCTGTGAGATTAGCTTGACGTGGTGAGTTCTGGCAAACCTGGATCACGGACTTTCTGATTGGTAAAACAATGGAGGGCAGGACATCAAAATGAAAACAATAAGATTTAAGGGCTGTAAAACTAATTTTGAAATTTGAATATCCCGGCTGAACTACTGTTATCAGTAAAAGAAGTATTCGAAAAGAGCATTGTTTACTAATGCCTTTTGACATTTTAGGGCCATTTAATGATGAATTGACATTTCAATTCTTACTTTAAACTCGCAGGCACCTTTCTCTGTGTCACAGCTGCACAACCTATATCCTCACAACCAATTGTTTCACTTCAAACATGAACATATTCTAGCTTCACCATGAAAATAACCTCAACAACTACTTTTGGTTTGAATCAGACAAACCAGAATGATGTAAGTAAATAATTTTAGCAAATAAAAGTAAAAAAATTGAATATTATTGCCCAGCACTAAACATATTACTGTAATTTAATTCATTCATGTATTTGCCAACAAAATGGGTTTAAAGACAACATTTTAATTTACTTTTTACTATAGCTTGGTTGGTAAAGTTTTCCTACTTCTGTTATTAAGCATTAGATAATGAAATAGTGATACTATTTGTCAATCATGTTAGTGCTTTTGTATTAGTATTTATTCCAGCAATCAACCAAATGAAACATATATTTTCTATAAATCTGATAACTGACTGGAATCACTTTTTTTGATGTCCTTACATGCGTAAAATATTTTGTTTGTCACGGATTCCTAACTATAAATGTGTGTGGTGTAAATGTGGAATAACCTCAGAGCCATAAACCGGTACAATTTGTTTCCTGCTACGCCTTCTTTGCCTTCTGGCTTAAATCAATAGTTTGGATTGTCTTGAATGCTCTCCTGCATGTGCAGCTGTTGTTTTAGTCAAGACCTTTTCCATTTCATTTATGTTTTAAAGAAGTATGGATGCCAACTTAGAAGCTGTACCCTTCTCGTGTTTCTCTTTTCATAAATATCAATGATTTCTTCTAAGTGTCTTCCTCAGAGTCCATACTTCTGTTGTGTGATTTGACAGCATGGCTGATTAGTGCATACTAGGCTCATTAATTCTCATAACTGTGAGATAATTGAAACTCATCAAGTATCTTATTTAGGGCTAAATACCTTATTGCTGTCACCTGAGTTTAAATGTACCACATTCCAGTTGTATTACCTTAATATTATTAATTACTCACATCATAGATTTAACATTTCAATATCAAGCATTTACTTTCCACAGGAGAACTTGTAATTATGTTCTACAACTGAAATGTATTCACACTGAGTTGGCAGCAACACGTAAAAAATGCATTGATTTTCTCACATCCTCTGAAAATATGAGATGGAAATAGATTATTGAGGTGCACACAAAAAGTTATGAACATTAAAAAAATTGTTTTTATAATCATTATGGACATTTATTTAAGCACAACATGTATTAGCAGATGGTCTTTTCTCTGCCCCTACAGGTCAAACTGTGGTATGACAAAGTGGGACATCAGCTCATCGTCACCATCCTGGGCGCCAAAGACCTGCCCTCCAGGGAAGATGGCCGGCCCAGAAACCCCTACGTCAAAATCTATTTCCTCCCCGACAGAAGGTAAGCGCAGGAGCAGCTAATATAGATTGTAGAGACAAGAGCAACAAGTGTTGAAGTCAGCAGAATTAGTAGTTCAAATTGTAGTAGTAATTATTTCTGTTCCGTTATCCAATCAACAATGTTCTTTAGAGTCTACCCAAAGGGAACCGTATTATGCATTCTTAACAGTTACAAATAAACAATGTGTGGCCAGCGTTGTTTTACCTGATGGGGACTCGACTGCTGCTCAGGCTGAACTGTGTCCTGTGTAAGGTGTGATTTCAAAAGCTTGGACTCAACATTGAAACTGGCAACCCAATTTAGACAATCAAGTGAAAGAAAGTCAAATACAAGAATGTTATTACAAACAATTCTGTAGAAAATGTTTTACTTTGTAATAAATCAGTATTATTAAAACTGTTATCATATTGCAATTGTCATCACTGCTTGGTGTACAGGGCCTTGAGCTCATATTAGCAGAGAATTGATTTTTCAGGTGGCTGAGTGGTTAGCACTCCTGATCGAAAGTCAAACAAGTGCAGTAGCTCCTGATAACTCCCCCCAACCCCTGTCTGGGGGCAGGATTCCCCTGAAAAAGCGATTCTGAAATCTCAGTGTGTCTTTCATGATGAATTAAATGTACATCAAATCAATCAAAAGAATGCACTCGTTAGGTTAGGGTTAGGCTTCTTTGTCCAAGCACGTGTCTATGTGTGCGTGCGGGCCTGTGTCTTTAAATCAGAATTGTATCAGCATTCACATTTTGATCATGAAAGGCTCAATATGATTTGTTCATGCTTAGCTTGCTTCTTGGGACACAAATAACTACTTTGAATTACAATAGAAAAATATACGTACTGTTCTTATAGAGTAACGGATGATTACCCTCTCTCCCTGCATGTCACAGTGCTGTGCTGTCCTGTTCTGTGGTGTATTCGTGATTATTCTCTACCATGATTGTAAATAAAAACAGTGTGAATTATTGTTCCACCAGTGACAAAAGCAAGAGGAGGACAAAAACAGTAAAGAAATCCTTAGAACCTAAATGGAACCAAACCTTCATGTATTCTCCGGTTCATCGAAGAGAATTTCGAGAACGCATGTTGGAGATAACGCTGTGGGACCAAGCCAGGGTGAGGGAGGAGGAGAGTGAATTCCTAGGAGAGGTAAGACAAGCTGTATACATCCCAATAAGCACAGAGCAGTTATTTGTATGGTGTCCGTAGTTACATGTATACATTTGTTGAAAAATTACTTTGACAATGTGAGACCATGCCCTCACTTTCTCACTTTCTTACACACAATGCATTCTGCTCAAGATAGAAAAGGATTTCAACGACCGTCTGGGTCCCAAATGTACACTTAATAATAATGCATCAATTTTATATAGCGCTTATTTTGGACACTCAAAGACCTTTACCTCTTATGATTATATGCAATATTGTGCACAAAATAAACACACTCAAACAATGACCATGTGAGAACCAGTTTATTATGAAATATGACTTAAGATTTGTATTTATTTAGTTTTGTTTATTTCAAGCACACGATGAAAAAGTGTACATAAATTTAAAAAAACGTGGTCATAAAGATTGGATGCTTGTTTTTAATAAATTGCAGATTACACTACTTTCACAACCACCTAGAATAGGGAGTTAATCAATAGTGTATACAATTGTAAAGCGATTTCTATGTCTGTCAAAGCACTCTAAAAGTTGAATGCAATATCATTAATAAATAAGCACTTCTTAATTCTGTGTATTTGGGGCGTACACCGTGAGCCACCAATTTGCCATGCTGCAGATGTGACCTTCTGCTGTTCTTGCAGATTCTCATAGAGCTGGAAACTGCACTTTTAGACGATGAGCCACATTGGTACAAACTGCAGACCCACGACGTGTCCTCCCTCCCACTCCCACGCTCCTCCCCGAACACGCAGCGCAGGCAGCTCCACGGAGAGAGTCCCACACGGCGCCTACAAAGTATGTTCTCACCATCAGCTGCAATGCTACAAAACCTCTTTACTTTTGTTGACCTATGGTAAGCCATTTATGAAACCGAGCAGCCTTTCAGCTTACCAACACTTTAAAGAGTGTTATGTATATTCCTACTTCGACATTTTTCTTTATCTTTGTCGATCGTAGCCTTGAAATTCATTGAGCAAAGTCGAGTTTATCCCATATAATGCCCACAGCTGCAGAAAAAGTCTCCATCCCCTCACAACCTGTAATTACTGACAAATGAGGTTTGACGTAGGCTACTTGAGCTAATGGCTATCTAATTGCTTTAAACACTAGCCACATTTAGCTTAGCTCATGCATACTGTATTTGCTTCTCGTGCCACATCAACATATTGCTTGTGCTTTCACAGACAAAGGCTCTGGTTCACTTAACTCAGGTAAAGGTGCTTTATGGAGCAGCTGAGTGTCCTCCTTTCCTCTTTAAAGACACACCTCTGTGCTCCTGTTTCCCAGGCCCTTCTCTGAAAGATGTATGGCTCTGTGCTTTTGTTTTTCTGCCCAGACACAAGTCTTAACAGACACATACAGCCTTCAGAGACAGGGGTGTGGTACAGTGTTTTACCTTTTTGTGCCTCAACCTGCAATCTGTCACAGTTCTGGCTCATTGCTAATATTGAACCTCATCCCAATTGCAAGCCACCTTAAGATTAGCACAATATTTGCCCTTCCTTCTGTGCCTTATACTCTTAAAAACTAATCTACCCTGCACTGACCATCTTTTGCTTTACTTGTCGTTTTGTGACATTAGATAGAAGATGTGTATTTCACCGACTGAAGTGAATAGAATAGAGAATAGTATGCTTCTTCAAAATAATAGTGATAATAATACACTGATAATGGAAACATAAATACATACATACATATACAGGGTATTTTAAGATAAGATAGACTTTATTGATCTCACACAGGAGAAATTTATATGTCACATCTAAACATATCTCATCTCCAGAATACGCCAGAATCAGAAATAATTATTTGTTGTAGTCTGTAGAGAGCTTCATCAGGGAGCAGTTGAAATATATTAAAGCGGTTCAGGGACTAAATTTCTGTCTGTTTTTTTCTTCCTGTCTTTGCTTCTGGCATCTTTCTTTGTTTGTGTCTCAGGATCCCAAAGGATAAGTGACAGTGAGATCTCAGACTATGATTGTGAAGATGGTGTCGGCGTTGTAACAGGTCTGAGCATTACTTTTTTACATATATCTAGCACAGTTTCACCAGTTTTCAAAGGTGAATATTTTCTAAACCCTAAGTTTAACAATCCCACGTGTTATAAGAGGTGTCTGTCTACCTTTACTGTGAGTGTCACTGTGCATTAAGGTTCAGACAGAACACCCACGCTGCTCTCATGTCAGGACACACTGTTACCAGCGGAAGACAGAAACTACCAATTAACTGAGTCATTGCTTTGCATGCATTGTATGTATCTCCATGACGACTTATGTGAGTTTTTCAGGCCAAGTTACAGGTAATGAGTGCCACATAACGTGCTGAATGCTCAATGAATGCCAGTCCCATTACTGGTCACTGATTTGCATCTGCCCATAGTTGCAAGAGAATAGAATACATTAGAAACAAGCGGTTTACAGACACTTCTACTACTACTTTATTAGCCTGGCTCCAGCCGACCTTTACTACTTTAAAGTAATAGTGAAAAATTACAGCACCTCTCTCAATGTACCAATGAGCTAGGAATAAATAATGATGACATGATGTCATCAGAGTGTTTTGTTGTTTTATTGTTGCTGTTGTTGCCTTTTCTTTGTGTTTGTGAAATGTTCTTATGGGCACATTATCATTCAGCCTCAGTCTGCATCACACTATGTACCAACCGTATTTAAGAAACTGGTTATGGATAGTACAAGTGCATGTTTAGTTCCACAGACATTTTTCAATGCTTAAGCATTGTTTATATTATTGATTATTACTCTGTAAGCTGTGAAGGGATATATGCATATTGTCACAGACAGTGCTGAGTTGCTGATGTTATAGCATGGGGAAATCCTCCCTTGGCCTGTTTAATATTCTGGTCACCTCTCCACTGTCTAACCATCCCTGCTCTGCGCCGACAGTCAAGGGAAACCCCAGTGTCTCTGGGTACATTCACAGTCTGCACCAGATATCGGCCTCACATTTTCATGTTACTCAGCATTGTTTTATGAGACTCTGTACATAGGTTGACAGTTCTGTAACCAAACTGTTTTTTTACCACATGCCCTTGCAAAACAAAAATATTGCCAATATTTTCAGCTGCGCATTTTGAGAACATTGTGTCACTATATCAGATAAAGTGCAATTCAAAACTTCCATGGTTCTTGTGTCTATTTTTTTGGACAGATTTGTCTTAACGTAAAATTAAGAACAAACCGTTTATGACTTGAATCAACCTTTAATAATGATAGACAGTATGGCACACTTTATATCAAAAGCTCTTCTATTCCCCTATCTTTGCAGAATACCGTCCAAATGGCCGAGATTTCCAAAGCTCCACGCTGTCTGTCCCTGAGCAGGTGATGTCATCTAACCACTGCTCGCGGTCGTCAGACATCAACAGGGCGCGCTCTCGCTCTCCCAGTGTCCCTCCGCCATCCAGGTAACTAACTGGCAAAGGCACTAACAAAGAAAATCCAACTACAGCATATGGATAATACAACGTTTGGATATGGGTGTAACATGAGGTGTAGTGCGACAATATTACACTAAACTTTGACAGTGCCAGGCTCAAGATACTATTTATTTAATCAATGTATTTCTCATAGTTTGCTTTTTATACAATTATGGACACAGAAGATTTCAGAGACTGTATTTACTGAACACATCTTTATCATATTGTTAGTCTTTGGTTTTACATTATTTTAATTCTTAACCTTGGTTTCATGTTTATTGTTTTATGTGAGTTATGAAAATAACATTGGATGCTGTTTTCTAGACAACTAGTAGTTTTAGCATATTTAAATCTTCTTCTGATGATTCTTTTTTGTTTCCCACTGGGTTCACATGCTTTACACATTATGTATATACATAGTTCCCACAGACCAATGAATGTCACATGACCTCCTCGGAGACGCCATATTTGATGGCACGCTGCTGTGTTTGTGCATTCCATTAAACAGAAGAATGAGAATAAATGTAGATATTCAAACGCAAATTGGAAAAAAAGGGCAACTTTTGAGCAAATAATTGTATATTAATACAATGGCACCACAGTTTAACGTGCTACGGACATGTTTTACATATTTGATCAAATTATGCAGCAAAAATTAACAAGCAATGCAAACATTTCTCAAAAACTTTAGATTTAATACCAGTTGGAGCTCCATTTAATTATTTTAATTATATTAACAATTAATTTAATTAATGCTAATGCCACACGGACACTCTGGATTGCTGTTATTGTTTATTTCCGCGTTTTTGACCGTATGTTTTGGTGAATGGTGGGCAACTGATTTTTCCAGGCGTAAAGAGCAGTTTATTTTATGACACAGATCTTTTTACAGAAGCAATGCTGTTTGTGAACATTGTTTTAGCCCACCATAGAACTATTATTATCTATTTAATACATTTACGTTGCCCTCGAGAGCCTCGGACGCGACACCGATCCTCCTCATAATAAAGTAATCTAAATAATGAAACTCTCAAGTTACCAGATATCAGCATACACAAGTTAGTACTGAGTAAATTACGTCTGTCAACACATTATGAGATACGATACGCACCTGACACAAAGTGCTCCGAGCATATTCTTGCGTGTTTTGAGGGAGTTTCTTGCCTGTTTATCTTCGCAAGCCATAACCTCCGTGGTTGTTCTGACAAAAGCTTAGTCTTCTCACATTCATGAAGTCTAATGATGGGTATACTGTAAAATCCAAGTTTAACGGAACCTCCGGCACGAGTTGAACATCCATTGACCGAGCAGGAGATGACCATTTTCAACTTTATCACGACATTAACACGTTTCAGCTTCTTTTTCTATTGTTTTGCCCACAGCATGCCAACACAAATGGCGCCGGGTCGGCAAATCCCCGTATGTAGTGACGTCATGTGGGAACTATGTATTACTTTATACTCACCACTACAACTAGACCAACATAAACACAACTGCACCAGACGGTCTCCTAAAGCTACACATTTTCTTTTGAGAAATCTTTTCCGTTATAGTTTTGCTTCGAGGAAAAATGTGAAACAAAACTCCATGTTCATCAATCATTTCCCCATTGTCATTAAGGCAGAGTGAGGTATCTGTCCAATACCATAGCTCTCTGCCATCCTCATCTATCTCTGCCGTACAAAACTTTCCTGCAATCTTTCCTTCTCTCTTTACATTACCCCTGATTCAATTGTTGGTTTTACCCATCCTTCTTCTCCTGCTCTGTGTTTTCCTCAGCTCCATCTCAAATCCATATTTTCTCCTTCCTCCATGTGTTTGCAGCCATTTTCTCTCCCTACCTCGAACCAGACATACTCAGCATCTTGATCCTCAGCAGGACCCCAGGTAGAATTTCACTGGAACATGCATGCAGCCTTCATTCCCTTCATCTCCGACACTCACTCATAAACCTTTTTTTTTTGTTATGGTGAATGGATTCTGAATATACTCTATACAATTATGAAGACCAATTAAAGCAGTGTAGATAGGGCTATGAAGTTTTGTCCAGCAGAGATTGCAATAATGAATGGCCTCCCCTTTCATCAAACCCCATGATAAAATGTTTACCAGCTGTGATTTTTTTGCCAGCCGCAACCATCACGTGCATCCTATCTGCAGAGAGGAGGCAGTCAGGTTACTGCGTTCCACTAGGATGGCCCGCGCCTTATCTGAGGGTGCCTACTCCTCCAACTATGACTATGAGAGGTATTGACATGCACTGCTACGGCATCTGTGCATCTGCCATCATGTGGTCCCTGCAAACTGTCTGTCGTCCATTTTTGATATCTCCGTGCTTGTTGGTGATGACAGAAGTGATATCCTGCTTGATATCGGCCCTTGTAGGGGGGTCATCACAGCTCTGAAGTTGTGTCGGAGGCGTGAGTTCTGACACAACTGCCTCATTGTGTGGCAAAGCAGAGCTAATTTTGTAGTTGTAACCAGATGTCGGCTGGTAATGGCCGGTGTCTTAACTGTTTGTTGAGTCCTTCTTTATGTATCCACATACATGACCCTGGTCTTGTGTTTGTAAAACAAATATTAGCCGTCTACTCCCAGTGCCACCTCAAATGTGTTACACAAAATTGCCCAGACCCATCTCTGTTCAAGTCGTGATGTTGTCAAATATGTATGTATACATGATAAGGAAGTGTGTTTCTGCTGGACAAAGTTCATACTACGCAGAGATTGCGTCTGGTGTGGATTCAAAATGGTTTACATTCTGTGATGTGAAATATTTGTATTGTAGATACTGATTTGTAGAACGTTGATTTGTGATTTATTTAAAGGACAATGTGCAGTTGCATAAAAATTGGCAGCACCAGATTTAGCAACTGTGCATGTTTAACCTGCTTTGTTCTTTCAGCTCAGAGGATTTTCACCGTCACTGTAGTGCCATATACTTTTCCCCCTTTTCCTAAATCTGTTTACACCTCTATCACACATTTTGCACCACAGCACACTTGTCTGTCCACATTATCAGTCACATTTCACACATATTACACATGACACTGATTATAATGATTATTTCTAAAGGTGCATTCCTCACCTGTTTGGGAACTTGTAACTTTGCTGAGTTAAGTTATGCTTGCTTTCAATGCAAAATTAAGGATCCAGGCAAAACAACAACATTTAGATGAATCCAAGCCTTAGGCGGACCCACCACCAGGACAGTTGGTAAATGCACCTTAAGCAGTTTATTTCCTTCTTCAGTTTATATAATGGCATTTGAGTGGAATGTTACACTTAGGACAATCCATTCACCTGATTCACTCATGGCAGCACACCTGTACTATATTTAATGCTCATACAAAGCTATTTGCCTGGTGTCCGCACCTTGTTTGATGGTGCTCTCCAACCACCTGTCCACCCTGAGGGCTCCACTGAGTGCCTGCCTATCTTTCAATAAACTTTAGGAACCACGGATCCATGGATAGGCACGAGTATCACATCAGGTCCCGCTCTGCAGACCAGCGGCCCACTATAGAGCGGCCTTCGTCCCGCTCTCGCTCCACTGAACGCCCCCACGACTCTTCGCTCATGAGGTCCATGCCGTCCCTGCCATCCGGGAGGTCTGCTCCCCCTTCACCTGCCTTGACGAGGTGTGACCCGACTGGAGAAGCTTAACAACTCTTATTACAGATTTGGGTTTTAGCTATGCAATTATTACACTAAGGTGTGGACTTTTAACATTCACATCAGTAATGCTTTAGTGTTTCTTTCAGCTACAGACATTTAACTTTCACTCAAATCAAAGTACTTTGTACTTTGCAATATACATTTTGCAGTGCATCTGCCCTCTGGAGCTGCATCTTTCTGTAATGTGCATAGCTAAAACCCGTCTAACCCAATCCAGGGAAAATCCTATCCAAGAGCCCCCACTCACCTGACTAACTCAAAATGTTACCAGAAAACCTCATCACTGCCACCCTCCTCCGACATCCACCTCCACATACCCCCACAACTACCCTCCACCCACTTTATGTTCGTCCCAAAAAGCTCCCGTGCTGTGTTTTCTTTGCACATGACTCGGGCTTAACAACCTTCCAGCCGTAGAGGTAGTGCTAAGTTGTTTTGATTTGGACCACACTGCTCATACACGTGTGCTTATAGCAGTGATGGGCCACCTTTTGTTTTTTTGTTTCATTACTAACACAGACTGAAGCTGTAGAAGCTGTTGTGATGGCATCCTGTTCTTTTCTGTTTTGCGTTCAAGCCTTTTGGGGACAGCCTGATCGCATGGTCACATTGGTCTGCTGGTTCTGCATCAAAGTTCTTTCTCTTTGCAGCTTTTGATGAATCAACAGTACATGCAAATCATACTTTTGACTGCAACTCTGATCTCTGTATTTGATATACCCCTCATGCCATGTGCCAACAATCATGCTGTTATATGTCTTATTTTTTGTTTTATCTGTATTTCCCAACAGATTTTTTACTAACTTAAGTGTTTACATTACTGGATGTAAGTGGGTGTTGTGCCAAACTTTTACATTCACAAATGTAATCACGCAGGTAGCATTTCAGTTCTTCCCCTCCCCAAATAAAATGTACTGTCCAAAACAAATGTAGTTTTACAGTACTCAAAGGCACTGAGCTACTTCAGAGCCTAAACTCAGTCCCGATCAGTTTCTATCGTATGTTAATTCTTCTGTCAAATCCTTTATGTTTATCTAGAGCTCATCCTCGTAGTGGCTCAGTCCAAACCAGTCCCACCGGTACGCCAATGTCCAGTCGAAGAGGCCGACAACTTCCACAACTACCACCATCAGGCAAAGACAGAAGTAAGTCCAACAATGTTATGGCTTTAAATGGATCACTGCTACATTTCACATGGACTCATAAGGCATGACAGTTTAGGTTGAAGTATATTGGGGAAGCTCGCTATCAACCATGGAACCAATGGATGTCTATACTTGTACAGTGCTTGGATAGATAGATACTATACTTGCATATCTTTATGAAATGAAATGATTAAGATTTGAATATGTCACAAAGACAAAATTATTTCTTGTAACTTGTGAAAGGATGTTTATAGTGGCTTTATAGTCACTAAAAAATAGACAAAGCATGAATACATGGTTAGTTTTGATGTATTCTACATGTCTGGGTCGTTTGCCTCACGGATCTTTGAGTCTTGGCCCAATATACGTTTTTAGAAGTAGAATCAGGTCCATACTCTTTTGTTCATAGCTTGTGGAGCAAAACCTGCTCATGCCATTTGTATAGTGCATTATATGATTTCTGTTTTATTGTTTTGCATCATTGGTTTAATGTTTTATTATCCTCCATAACAACTTGCTCGGTTATTTTCCCATTTGTCTAACAGAGGATGGAGACGAAGGAACAGAGCCTTGTGAAGGTCTGTACTTCTGTGATGGGTGTGGGTTTGGGCTCTCGGACTGAAAAGTGCTCCACTCGTGGCGCTTTTCACTCTGAAGCTCAAAACCTTGTCTGCAACGTCGGGTGGCTATTTTCCCTTTACTTACTTTAGAACCGCCCTCCGTTGCAGTGACATCATCATATACTGTCCACGTTTTTGCATCATTGTGGTTGTCCGTTCCTTAAGGACTGTCTCGTGCCTGGTCCTGATTGTTAAAGTGCTCTGTCCCTCTCTGTCCTTGTTTTTGAAGTTTTTTGAAGTTGTATGTCAATGGTTAGTTGGTTTTAGCTGTTTAGATATAGATATTTGGGCTGCTGAGTGTCTTCCCAAAAATGTAATCCAAAAACTTGAACAGACATTTTCTATGAACATCTCTGCTCCTCAGCATTCTTGTTTATGTGATTGTATCGTTTACAAAGACATTGAAAAAACGCTGAAGGAAAATGCAAAAAGTTGATCTAAAAAAGAAATCTTTGACTGATTCGATGAATTAACAGATAAAAGTGATACGTGCCCAGCTATGAAGACACCAAGAAAATACAGTCTATCTTGCATTCATTGATGGTTAAAGTCCCTCAACCTAAAAAATATAAAGTTATTATCAGCACAGATCTAACACTATTCTGAATAATAAGCCGTCGTTTAAGTCTTCTCCTTTGTGCTTTACCTCTCCTTCATCCACTTGTTGCTATAGAACTCTGGAACAAACATCCAACATCCATTTACATTATGGCCAGATTCGCAATTATCCATTGTGTTACAGTTTATTTCAGTTTCAGTTTATTTCAAACCAGACGTTCTCTCCTCTAACTCGACCCTCATGTGTGCAGATGTGGTCAGTGGTGTGTGTCTCTCTCTCCTGTCTATAGTAGCTTGATGGTGGCAGTGTGTGGGCAGGGTGGGGAGGTATTGATCTGACCTTGTGCTGTAGCTCCCATATAGCAACACTGGACTTATGCAATGCAAATGTGTGACAGACTCAAGTGAATGCTTAGCTGCTTATCGACTATAGATCCACACTATATCACGCTGATTATGGACTGGTGCTTCTACACTTTATTTTCCCTCTTCATTAATGCAAAAGCCTCATTTGAATGAAATATGAAAGATCCAGCTCAGAAGATGCACATTTTATACATTTTATTAATGAGTGCATTCCATTTTTTTTATTTTTGTTTATGATTATTTGTTTGTAACTTATGATCTGAAAGATACAACAGGTCAAAATTGTATTCTAATGACAGTGGCACACACCTGCCTTGTTCAGTCATTGTAATTGCTAATGCACATCTCTAATTTGAGTTTAGGCATAGGATTTTAAAGGAATTGTATCTTTTTAACAGCTGTAGTGATAGAGCCAGAGGAAAAAGCCCAAGCTCCACTTACCGGTGTAAATGGCAGAAAAGGCAAGTCCAGCGTGCAGTGAGTTTGCAGTGTGGACCATTGTGTGGCCCCTTAACAATTTACAACTCTTTCTTGTGCAATGTTTACAATAATTCCAATACTTTTTGCAGAGATGGCTTTTTAAGGTTACAGTTCCTTTTTGTCCCTATTTGTAATCATTAATCACTGATTAGATTTCATAGGACATTTGAGCTGTTTCATTAATTTGGGCTGTTCCACATCCACAAACAAGCTCCCTCATTTTTTGATTTATTTTCCTACCCTGTAGTAGCAGAAGTATGTACAATAAAACTCACCTTAGGTTTCAATGGTAAAGATGTGTAGTTTCCCATTGTGACCATTAGATGGCACTAACTATACAGTTGTGGCAGAGGAGCTATCCATGCTGTTGGTGCTAAAGTGTGTTTATGATCTGAACAGCTGTGAGCCGTGGAGTTGTGTGGTGTGTGATAATAGATTAGTGTGATGTTATCTAGTTTCAATAGTTGTATCACTGTAGAGGTGACGTGGGAGGACCAGCAGAAAGGCCTCAATGGCTCTTTGTCTGACGGAGGGGCAGAGCCAGTCCCCACTCTGGAAGACGCAGGTTGGTGGTTTGATGTGGATCTTTGAGACCTCTTCTCTGCTACTTTTACATAATTTTATTGTGTTCTTGCAAAATTGCAAATTAGGTTGTCTACTTGAATCAGCCTCTGGGTGGTGTCACGGGCTTCCTTTTTTGTGTGGCTTTGCAGTGCTTGACTTATGTGATATGTGGTATGTGATTATTCATATATTCAACTTTACATTTTCCAATAACGCACACACTAACCCCCCCCCCCACACACACACATACACACACAGACACACAAATATGAATTGCGGTGCTTGGTGATAGTGGCTATTGTTGAGTGAAATCTAGTTGCTTTCATCTCCGTTCACTGACCCACATAATGGCTACATTGCACCTCGCTGTTTATGCTAAATACAATTGCAAATCAATTTGAGATGGGATGAAAATGTAATGCGACTCACATGTCCTCTTCTCACCCACCTACATGTATGTTTGCACCTTTTGCAGGAACAGATAAAATGGTTGCTCATTTGTTGTTGATCAATAGAATTGTACTGTTGTAACAAGAACACTGTGTTATTGTGAAGTGTGCATCATAGTGACGTCAATAAGCTCTATGCGAAGCTCTTTTTGAACACTACACAGACTTTACGTTCAGCAGTTTTGCTTCTCTCGAGATGTAGCGAGCTCTCTCTTTTGTGCGCTTGCTGCTCTATGCATCCAGTTTGTGTTGTTTTGTTATATATTATTTTATTATAGCTTTTTTTCCTTTATTTTTCCAGGCCTTTTTGTCCCACAGACTTTGCCTCATGCAGATTCTCCTCTAACCCCACCACTCTCTCTTTCCCCCTTTCCCTTCAAGGACTCCAGTCTCTGTCTGGGTGGTCAGCTCTGGCGCATTAACATATTTTTTACTGTTACAGCTCTAATTCCTTTGAAAGCACAGAACCTGACCCGCCAACACTTGCTCTTCTCTTTGATGACTAAGCTCTTGTGACCTCTGCCTCTCCCAACTTTTCTTTCTATTCCCATGGTGAAGTTTTGTGTTTTGGTGTATCTATGATTTCTTTATGTGTTCTGTGTTTGTTGTGTGTTGTTTTGTCCGTTCTTGTGTCGTATTCTTCTTATATTGTGTCCCCTCCCCCCTCTGGACGATCATACCGTGGTGCCCCTCTTGCCCTGCGTGTGTCTGCGTGCGTCCTCTCTCATCCATCTCCCTCTCCTGTGTCTGTGTCTGTCCATCTGTGATGTGACTCCAGAAGACACCAACTCACCAGGTTGGACCAACTCAGGTCTGTCCCTTCCCTTCTTCTCTCCCTCCCGCTCCTTCCTCCCCCAGCTCTTTCCTCTCTATTAGTACCCCCCACGGCCTCCACATTTCATGTTCTTTTTCAATGATTTTATGTTTTCTTCCTTTTTTTTGTTTACATGAACCAGACGTTTAAAGCTTCCTTTATGTTGCTATTTTGCTTCAGTTGGCTCTACTTTACTTTGATGCTTGATAAGTTGGCAGTAACGTGAACATGTTTAAGCAGACAACAAAGCATCACACATTTCAAACTGCCTTCAATTCCTTTTGTCCAGTTGTATAATTGTACTATGTAGTGTTTGTTCTGACTCTGCTGTTTGGTCATTACTCCATTGCATTTTACTTGGATGTGAGTTTCTGTGACGCTCCAGGCTCACTCTTTGTGGCATGGCTCTTAAGTTGGTAGTGAAAGCCCACTTCATTGTCCAATGTCCATGGCCATCATACGACACTAAAGTAGAAAACGAGAGCTGGTGGGGAACCAGGGGTACTGTGCAGTGAGTCTGACCTTCTCTATTCCATTCGCGATATTACTGGCATCATTTCATAACAGTCTGGGATCTCAGCCTTTGTGCCTTGAGTAATGAATCGATGCTTGTGAGGTTTATACATAACTAATAAATACATTCATAGACTCCTAATAATATCACACAGGTTTAGTTTTCTATTGTTTACTTGTGAGATTGCTGAATTGATTAACATACTGTAGATGTGTCCCCATTATCAATATTAGTTCCAGAGAAAGAGGTTCTTGACAGGGGCATGTGTAGTGCATAGGGCTGTCTGGTTTATTTTATTGGTCCTTGGCTTCTCCATGCGATATGTCCCTCATAGCTCATGGCCCATGGTCTGCTGATGCTTGTCTCTCATAACCTCTTGATCCATGCACCGTCCTTTGCAGAAGTTCTCTAACTCCACCATCTCTGTTCTTAGGTGTGGACATGGATGAGCGAACCAGGCAGATGAAAATGAAGATGAACAAGTACAAGCAGGGAGCCGGCTCTGACTCACGGCTGGAGCAGGATTATCACAAGGTAAAATTGGTCACTTTCATTCCCCATAATTTCCTGTTGCAACAAAGGTACATTTCCTGTCGCTTGTTAGAGCTATATACTGGCACATATAAAACTCATTTTGAATTCTGTCTGGGTCATCTGCTCCGGTGTTTGTCCAGAGCAGCTGCTTGTCATGAACCTTCTAGCCGAGAGACACAAAAGTCTCATATTGTTAATTGTATTTCCGTGAGAGACATACTTTTTTTATTTTTTTTACACTTTTTGCACAATCCTAATACTGTTGATATGTGGTGAGATTAACCTTCATACAGAGTTCAAGCTTTCATCTGTTAAACACCGTTGTAGGGGTTGCTTTTGATGTTTTTGAGCCGTGAGAATGACTGCTCACATGCATCCGTAGAGCTAAACATGGTCAATAGAAATTACTCAAGAAAAGGAACCCACAGAGACTTGCTGTCCTTTGACCCAGCTAATGGGGATTCTAAATAAACTAAACCCATGCACAGCCGTGTGTGGTACGTGACAGGAAGCACGTTCCAAGGTTTGACAATCAGCTGGTCAGCAGGTTTTTTTCAATTCTGTCTAGTTGTTTGATGCCAGCTCTGAATTTTGTGGTTTAAATATTTACAAATCTCTATACAGTTATTTGAACTTGAACAATCTCAACTTATTAGTTTTTTAAAATGTATGGATGGAGTTCCAGGATAGTGTAGTTTTGGATTCTTCTCTATACTGTCAATCAATCAATCACTCAACTTTATTTGTATGGCGCCTTTCCAACACAAGGCCACTCAAAGCGCCTCACAACCCACATAATATCAGACAAATCAGAAACATCAAAATCTACATATACAAACAACAAATACATTAAAAACAGAATAAAATCACAAGTAATGAAAAAACCTTAGTTAAAACATTAAAACCACACACGGGATTAAAATAATAAATAACCACAATGCATTAAAAAAGAGTATGTATCAATAAAATCCTTCAGCCGTATGCACAGCTAAATAGAACAGTTTTTAACCCTGATTTGAAAATTGCCAGAGTAGATGCTAGCCTCACATCTTCAGGAAGATTGTTCCAGATTTTAGCTGCATAAATCTCAAACGCTGCCTCCCCAACTGTAGTTCTAAGTCTATACTTATGCCATATGTTTTTCATAATGCAAATGAAATATATATTATGTGTTTTACAAAAAATATTTCCAGTGTTTTGGACAACTTTAAATGTCCAATGTGTTGGTCACATCTACAGTGTAAATAAATAGTGACATTGAGAACAAGCAGAAGCAGTTGTTTAGTTTTGCCTCAGTTTGAAGCCAAACTAAACAACTGGTAACTGTTCGGTTGGCATCTTCTTTTGTGATTCTTAACCACTAATAAAAAGAACATTACATTTGATGGTGTCCTTCTTGGTCCTGTCTTTTTCTCATAACAAAACATGACAAAAATATTTACCCCAACTCTGAAATTTGAATTATGAGTTAAGTGTTCTCCAAGCAGTGAGATACAGTATATACACTTTATGAACTCCTTGCACACATTTCCAAATGTTGTTTGTAAAATTGTGGATTAGCTTTTTTAGTTTGGTTTATTTGTATGGATCGGTGTGTTGCTTATGAACCGCAGGTGTTGTAAGTACCAGATTGTGTCCTTTTGGTCTAGATTGTGACAGTGTTTCTGAAATAGTATAGACTTTTCCACATGCACACAACACAAATTAGAATTAGAACGGGACCAAATAAGCACTTTTTTTTTGTAATTCTCATGTATTATGGAGCATAAATTATCAAATTGTCAGCAGAGACTCTCAAACAACCGTTGCCAAGAAAATAAACGTGCGTCATTTGAGGTTTTAGTCATCATGTGCAGTTTAGCATTGATTGAATAAGACGATATTTGCTGACACACACACACACACACACACACACACACACACACACACACACACACACACACAGAGTGAGTTGAAGATCAGGCTCTGCGGTGAGACTTAGTGTGGGGGTTTAGTCTACGTCATCAGGACCCCACTGTTCTAGGAGAATAAAGGTTGAAATGCAACATGTAAGAAGAGGAAGGGTCTATCGGGAGAACTACCTGATTGACGGTTGATGTCAATAGACTGCCTTAAAGCCGAGGTACCTGACTTTAAACCACAAAAAATATATGTATATTATGAAGTCCATCTTACAAGTTATTCGCTCTCAAAACACTTATATCACTAGTTTTCAAGTGCATTTATAGAAAAAAGAAAAGCAAAGTACAATTAACCCATGATATTATACCAATCCACCATGAACTCGGTCAATCACTTCAAAAGGATCCATTAATATCCTCATTAAAAGTGCAATTTATTGACTCTAACTGGAGTTTCTTGGTTCAGACCCGGATGAGATCATGCATTAGAGGGGTACGGTCCCATATTATTATTGTTATTATTATTATTTTATTCAAAGTAGCTTAAAGTCTAGGTACCTAACTTTTAGTTTGTCCCAACAGAAAGAGTCCTATAAAAATATAATGTGAAGAAAGACCACAACATGCTCTTTTTGTCTCGTTTATAGATGTTTTAACTTTTGCATACTTCCTTATGAGTCACTAGTTGTCGTTTGGGCTGAGAGCTGATTGGCCGAGTGAGCGTGGTCTTCTCTTCATTATTTCTGAAAAAGCTGATCTAGATGTGGCAGAGATCAGAAATGCATGTGAAAACCAGTGATAGAACCAAACTGTTTTGTGAGGGAAGAACTGGTTGGATGGATGGATTTTGTTGTAGTTTGTAAGTTAGGTACCCCAGCTTTAATAAATATCTGTGTTTCTTACTATTAATCATCAAACATGCAGATGCTGTGAGGTGATGCCTGACAATGATGTACTGCGGTTGTACAAAAACAATTAAACTTTTTTGACTGCATACCAATATTGATTTCATATGCTGTGTTTTTGTGTCAAACAGAGGTCAAGCAGAGATCAACGGGGTTCAGATAACTTGTCGGCCAAATCTTCAGACAGCGATGTGAGCGACGTGTCCGCTGTGTCGAGAACCAGTAGTGCCTCTCGGTTCAGCAGCACGAGCTACATCTCTGTCCAATCAGAACGGCCGCAAGGAAACCGCAAGATCCGGTAAGCTCCGCCTCCAGCAGGGCACAGAGACACTTGCCTTACTGGTTTCAGAATGGACAATTTCCCTTTAAACTGACTGCTTTGTTTCTCTATACTCTGGTCAGGCATGACATCATGATCAAGTTGGAATACAGATTCTTTTATAGATTTCACTGGTGGGTGGGTATCGGGTTTTGGCGCCAAGTAACTACTGTTTATTGTTTGCTTGATTATTATTTATTTTTTACAATTAAAACATTTTCATTTTATGCAATTAATGTAAAGTATTTTTTGTAGTGTTTGGAGCTGCGAAGTGAACAGAGATTCCTAGTTTAATAATAATAATTAGAAATATTGTAAACGCGTTCAAACATAAAAGCCGCAAAGTTAAGCAACAATTTACGTTGTAATGTTGTTGTTTTATGACTGAAACCACCAGATATGACAGTAGTTACCAGGCTTGTTAGTCGCTGTAGTGTCTTCAAAACTTACCGTATGGGCTCCACCCAGGTCCCAGATCCATCAATTGGTTGCGTTCAAAAACCTTTTACAATGACAACACTAACTAAAAACACTAGTTTTTCCCATGTCACATAGACATTTATACGTGTTACCAAAAGTAAATTTTTTCCTCTAAATAATATCTAATATTGAGTTAAAATGCGGTTTTGTACCTTTAAACTTCCAGACACCTGGGTAAATAAATCAATGTTATCAGTGTAGCACCCCCCGTCCCTTTATCTGCTATGGTTAATGTCCATTAAATGAAAAGGTTCTGTCACTGTCAGGAAAAAGTTTAATTTTTAGTTCGTTGATGATGACGTTATGCCTGACTTCTGTATACCGCATGGCCTTGAGAGATTTAAAAAAAAATTGTATATTCATGCAGGAAAATGTTCTCTACCAATTTGTGTATGTCATTTTCCTGTTGTGATGAGTTCATGTTTGATCCAGTCTTCAAAAAACCCGGAACCAAATGGTGAACTCTGCTATTTTTCGACAGTGGAGAGAGGTTGTCCAGATCTGATGTTAAAGGAACATTACCACATAGTTGTGTTGTTGTAGTACACATCAAGTTAATGCAAATACAACTATATTTGCATGGTGCTTTTTTTGTTAAAGTTCATCTGTGCTTCTCTTTCTGCTTTTACGGTTCGTCTGCAGCAGCACCTGTCCTTTCTCGTTGACTTTTCTCATTTTTCTTTGTTAATTATTTTCTGCTTCGCATGTGCCGCTATCTCTGTGTCTGTCCGCAAACATCAGCCAAATGCGATCCAGGAGCCAGTCACGGGAGGGGGAAGAGCAGCTTGAGAAAGTGCATGAGGAGGCAGAGGAGGCTCGAGTAACTGGAGGGGGGCAGGAAGGCAAGCGGAACAGCAAAGAGGGCTCAGAGGGGGCAGTAGTGTCAGAGGAGAGCACAAAAGTAGTCAAGCAAGATGATTTGGAGAGAGAAGAGGAGGTGCACCAAAGGAGTGTCTCAGAGGCTGATCTAAGGTAACACGTGTGGGGAAGCTTTATTGACTCCCACTAACACCAGCTCCAGCCCAGTGTTCCGTTGTGACCCTTTTAACCCGCTTATGACATAAGAGTGACCCGAACAATCCCTGCCCATGTTGAGATTTATCAAGCCTCAAAGTGCATTTTGTTCCTTCTCCGATATTCATGTCTCAAACCTGCATGTTTAGATTTAGGCCAAGCCGAAAAGGGACTGCGGTTCATTCAGTAGTTTGTTTCAAAAAGGAAACAGCGAAGACATATTCAAGTATTTGTTCATTATTTGGCAGCTCTTTGGGCGCCAACTATGCAGCATTTCTACATCAGCTCCTGAATCCAGGACACTTTCTATACAGCAACTTGGCTTCCCACATTTCTCATTGATATTGATTTTAGCTGTTTAGTACTATTAAAGTTTCAGAGCTCTACTTTTTGTCTGTTTCACATTACATTTATGTAGAACTCTGGCGCCTAAAGAGTTAACCTCATGACCTTTTATTCATCTGAAGATGACAATTGTATCAGTTATAACCTTTTGTGCAAGGTTTTCATTTGTGAAGAGCTAATACAGTATGTTGTATGTTTTGAAATGAACTACTGAAATACTTTCCTCTCTCACGTGTGGAAGCCATTATGTGCAGACCAGTATAATTATGACCTGATTACCTGATTATTTTGAACACAGGAATATTGTAAAGCCTCTTGAGATTCAGAGTTAATTTCTATAGAGAGTTGGGCGATAGAAGATTTTTAAAGTATGTCAAGAACAAAATCCAGAACGAAATGTTCATAACTGATGTCTTATAATTCTGCAATGTACAAATGAAGTTAATACTTCTTAAACCGAGGCTCTTCTGGCCACAGAGGAAACAATATGTTAAAAGCCATTGACCCTCCTGTGCGATTAAGTGTGATTAAGGCTTTGCCTGTGTCCAGTCTGCAGAACGTCTTACATAAGATGAGCACATGCAGGAGCAGGACTGTTATGTAGAAGAATACTTAGACTGAGACTTAGGAAAGATACATATTTTTGTGCACTGCATGTGCTTTGCTCTTTGTCTGTGGCTGTTCTTGTCTTCATGTGCTGTCTGAAGTGCATCTCCTCATGTTTCTGAGTGTCACTATTATATGAGTGTGTCCAGATCATTTCCTTTCCTCCTCAGCCCAAACACCTTACTGAAAATACATTCAATTCACTTACAGTGCCTTGAGTCAATAACAAACTGAAAGTGATTTGAGTGACCCTTTTGAAGTCTGGAGATTGAAAACATTTCATGGATGACAATCTCTGATTTCTTCATGACAGCTACAGTATAAACACTCACACATCCTCGCTTAGAAAACATCACAAGATATCAGGTTAGTTAAAAACATCAGGCTCTTGTTCAACCATGTTTAATTGACCAAAGATAGACACAATAATTCTGACAGAATGAAAACATTAATCAAGCCAAAAGCCAATAGTCAGCTGCAAAATAGAAAGTAAGCACTTATTGTATAAATCTTGTTATACATGTTATGAAATCTTTTGGCCACTTGAATTTGCAACAAACTCACACAATGTATACACACAATAAAATAAGCCCTATTTCTTATGTATTTAGGCAATACATAGTGTTTAACAGTCCGGTTTAATTTAGCTCATAAACACACAATGTATATTGTAAATATGCTCCAAGCTGCCGACTCGTACGTATAAGGAGCTTTGAAAAAAGTCTCTCTTTCATCCGGGTTAGTTGCCCAGGTAACAGGTCATTCATGTGATGCAAAGTACCCCCTGCTGTTTTTGACACAAACTCATCACTGCTGTTTACCCTGACCTTTGTGCTGCAGATCCAGGAGCTGGTTCACTCAGTGAATAACAGTTTTCCGACTGCCTAAGCATCTGAGTGCATTTTAACATGCACTTTTAATCAGCCTGTCTGCTCACTCCTCACGGACGTTAACTTTGAAGCTGTGTTGACAGCCGCATGTGTTATATGATAATGGTCAGGCCAGCGGCACAGTAACCACACAACCATAATTTTTACCTCATCATCTTCGCATGAAATTAACCCTAACCCTGAAAGATTTGAATACGAAAGCAGTTTTAACCGGTCTAACCTGTCTTTAGTAAATATTAGCAGCAGCATTAAAGAATGTTTGGAAAAAAAATGTCTAAGACCAAACTTTCATAAATAAAAGCCTATGAATGTTAGGATGTTGGTAAGTTGTGTGTTGGATTATCAATTGTAGCAAAGCCATTTTAGTGCAGCGATGATGCAAATGTCCGAGCTGTCTTAATTATCACATTATCACACGTTTTAGAGTTTAAGTGTTTAAGTGTCAGGTACATCAATAATGGGGCATCAACACAGCTCATATTTTTGCTATGCTTTAGACAACCTGTATTTATATCCACATGAGGTGAACAGTAAAGAAATAACCACAGATTTTGAGTGTCCAAAAGTAATGGGGCAATTGGCTGCAGCTCTTCAATAGCAAGATGTGATATTATTCCATGTTCTGTAAAAAGAGCAAATAACATTTATAGAGTTCATTTGAGTTCAAAACTTTATTTCAGGTTCCCCTTATGAACATCTAACTTTGAGACGTTCAGAATAGGAACCTTTAGTTGTCAAACAGTAAGTTGAAAGTTGATCAAGTCATGGGTTGTCTCTTCTAAAATGAGTGAAAGGTAGAGATATGATTTGTCATGATTAAATATGACAAATGAATGTAAATATTTCATTACACCTGCATATACTTGAACAAAGTACGCTTTTAGACAACCAAGTATTAGGAAATATACAAACATATTTCTGTGTATTTCTCTGACCCATAGGCCGCTTTGAACTGAAAAGGATTATATATTTGTCTCCATAGGTCAGTCTGCTCTGTTCTGATACCTGTGTTAGTAACAGAGGGCCCATGCGGCGCAGTTAAAGCGCCCCTGACTGAGATGTTTCTCAAAGAGCATACTTTATAAGGTCACCTGAGCTCCTTTTCCCTGTGGAACGGCTGTGGCTCTGGGACAAACTGGCCGTATAATCGTTCAGCAAACAGTCATTATGTACGAGCTGGACAACACACAGGGCAAGGCGGCGCTTAAAGAAAAATATGATGCTGATGGCCTTGTTCGGAACTGTCTGAACAAATCTATGCTCGTAACATTTAGGACGGAAGAAAACATGAAGCCGGTGGAAGAACTTGGATTAGCAACATTATGTTACAACATGTGACAAATCGATCTAAACATTGAAGAAATGATACTCAGGGTCGTAAATATTTACAAATATGATACAAGATGATTTGTGAAAGAATTTTAGCTGTTGGTTTTGATCTTTACTTGGGCTTTGATTTCAAAGGCACCTAAAACATTTAATAAAGTAAACATGTATCTATATAATTCAGTTCTAAAAGAAAACCCACGTTTTGTTTCTTTTCAATTACTGTCTTCATCCACATTAAACAAAAAATAGGCAATCTTTGTTGTCACTAATACAATTTACAATACAACCTGAAAAAACGCTATTCACACTATTCAGTTTTTTTTATTAGAAATTAAATCATGATAATTTTGCTTTTACTTCATTAGTTTCCGCCTCTCTTTCCAAAAAACAACACTTTTTGAAAGTACGGTAGATTACAGTTACTACAAAGAATTTTAAGTGTATAAGTTCATTTAAAGCATTTATTTCTGACACAGCTTGAACATGAAAAACATCGATCAGCAGCAGTGTGGAGATGTTTACCTTTCTTTATACACTTTGACTAAAAGCCCAAATATGATTCATGTATATTAAATTACTTCAGGCATTATTTGTAATGTAACTAAGTTACTTTCTTGTGGCTTTTTCATTTGAAAATGTGATATGTATAAATAATAGTAATATGTAATCAATGACTTAATGTACCCAAAACTATCTTTGATTATTCAGACTTAAGACTGGCTCAACAACATGAACATAGTCTTCATCTTCACATAATTGAGTGTGAAGTAGTAATGTGTTAATCCATAGTTTCTCAAACATAATTGGGTGTAATGAATGATTTAATTGCCACGTTGGCTTGTATCATGCTGGTTTTATGGAGCACATCTCTTCTCCATGGCATGTCTGTTCAACACTGTGACATGGTAAAGGTCAGAAACTTTAATTAATGAACAGTGGCGTTGAGGCCCCACAAGTAACTCAGCCCATTAATAATGCAAGGCCCGTGATACAGAAAGTAATTTGTCTCTTAAAGATAATTTTACTGGCATGGCTAAAATAAGACCTCAATTTGGATTCTGTCCTACTTTCTTTGGACTTGAGAACAATGGGGGCTGTGGTGGTGGTGGTGGGCAGATTTTCTGTTTCTATTTGGGTGGTCACAATTAAAAAGTTACACAACAACACAATCTCTGTCTAATAATAATTGTAAACATTATTTTCAAAATCTAATGACATTCCAAAAGCAAGAATACGTGCGGTAATCTTCGCCATGTAAACCAGCTTTGCTACTGAAAAATCCAATTAGCTTTTGACCCTCCCTAGCCTGAATTTTGTGACAGTTTTAGGTCTTAAGGGATAAGTCGAGGTAAAAATGAACTGCTTTACTCCTGGTGCCTGCTCCACTAAAGTTGTTTCTGTCATGTAAGAATGAATTAAAATGTGGCTTACAATCCAACACCTAAAACAACACGTACACTCAGTCATCCCAGCAGTACCATCATAGCCCAGTCAGTTTGCACATCTACCTACAGAATTCTTATACTGTAAGTCATGAAAAGTTTTACCTGAATTCTGTCCTTTTGTCCCTCTCCACCCTTCACTTCCTGGTCCTCCTCTCCCTGTCCTAAATCCTTCACACCCTCCTCATGATGCTCTCCACGGGCCGCCTCTCCCCCCCTCTCCTCTGTCCCCTGTCTATTCCCTGTCCCTCTGCGTCCTCTATGGCGGGTTGGCTGACAGTGACTTTGCATCCAAAATGAAAAACAGGCAGATGGGCTCCTCCGGTGGGATCAACATGACCAAGAGCACAAGTATCAGCGGCGACATGTGTAATCTGGAGAAGACAGACGGCAGCCAGTCCGACACAGCGGTGGGTACGGTAGGCACTGACGACAAGAAGAGGCGCTCCAGCATTGGTGCCAAAATGCAGGCCATGGTTGGCATGTCACGCAAGAGCCGGAGCACCTCTCAACTCAGCCAAACAGGTAGGACTCTCGCCTTTTATTGCATTTGTTGTTTTTCATTGTCTTTTCAACTTGACTTGTCTTTTTTATACTTTTTGTCTATATGTTGAATGTTATTTAACAACTTTTTTCCCTCACCTGCAATGTAGCATACGCCAGTCCAGGATTCAAGACCAACAAATCATGCATGTTTTTTTCTAATTCACCTTTTATTCTAGGAGAAAACAAAATAATGTTTTTATTTTTTCTAGGTGAAAGGGGTTCCTGTCTTCCATGCTTTTTTTTTTAGATTTATAGGGAACCTTTCATTCTTTTGTTTTCTTGTATATTTCACAAATATTGGTTATTGGGATGCTTGCCTTATGGGTGGCACTCGGCACAGTGGCTGAGTGGATAGGGGGCCTTTTTGAGTGGAGTTTGCATGTTCTCCCTGTGTCTGCGTAGGTTTCCTCCTGGGCGCTCCGGTTTCCCCTACCACTAAAAACATGTACAATAGGTATGAATGTAAAGAGTGAGTGAATGGATGGTGTTGATTGGAGGCTTTGATGCGCCGGTGTGTGCGGCGTCTCGCTTCCGTCATCACCGTGTGTGGAGAGAATGGAACAATATCTGAACTCTGAACATTGCAAAGCCTTAGTCTGTAAAAATGCGCTATATTAATAAAGATTACTATTATGGCTGAAGACTTACAGTACTAATACATGGTGCATTTGGAACAGCATGGTTTGGAAGAATTGTGCATTGACAACCCCATAGTTTGTCTTCCCATTTTTATTTTTCAAGAGCCTTCAATAACTTTCTGCGTAAAGCGGAGGCAAAACGGTGCGAAAAACAGCATAGCAGGTGGTGTGCGGTGATTTTTTCTGGACGACTGGGGAAGAGAGTGTTGTCAGAGTCAGGGTCAGAGTCAGACAATGTGTTTTGCTCTGCGGCTGTGGATCCCCTGTGGGCGCTTTAAGTGTTAAGGGCCTTTTCATCTGCAGTCTTCATGTCTAAGCAGGTCAATAATCACTGCCATGGTCTTGTTTATGTCGTGTGGATGGAGGGGTGGGGGACCTGTGACCGGTGAGAGGAGAGGGTACCAGAGCATGGCTCACGTGGCACTCCACTGCACCTTTGGATCCTCGTGACTCGCCCGCACATGCTCTGCACTGTCATCGGGCATTCATTATTTAACAACACTGTAATATTTCAGTGTCAAACCACTTTTGATATAATCTTCTGGACTGAGCAGTGCACGGCTTTGCATCCCAAGTTGTCAGTATGAATGTTTGTACTTTGATACCTGCATTTATTATTGATGTGGCTTTTGTAGAATCTTTACTTTCTGCACAGATTGGTTTCTTTTATAACTCAAAAGCTCTAAGTTTAAGATATTGCAGATATTTAAACAATGCAAAATAATATGAACAATCTACGCTGTGTATTATGATGATCCAAAACATAATCAGTAACTTTACACACAGTATATACCCTAAAATCATGGCCGCTCTCTCTGCACATGCTCTGAGCCCTGAGTGCATGATACGGATTGAGGCCTGTGTCTCCTGTTCAATATTTAAACTCTTTTCTGCTCTGGCTCTGCCCTACTTTGTACTGTGCATAAACTGTAGCTTTAAGTGTCGTATTGTTGGCACACAATGCACAGAGACAAACACAGATCAAGAAACAAAGCAAAGATTAGTCCCATTTGAGGAGTGCGTATCTAGATTCATGCTACTTGGGCCACAGCTGCCCAGATTCAATGAAATCCAATTTATCTATAGAGCGCATTTCGTAAACAGTCTCCACATTTTTGTGTATGTTTACTCGATATTTTTATATACTTCACAAAAGTATATACAAATATAAATTCAATCATCTGTCAAATACATCTATTAGCAGCAGTAGAACGCTCCATTGATTTTAATGTAATTTAAAAACTTTCTACCGGTCATTATTTCTTGATAATGGACCTCTCAAAACAATAAGGACTGCTGCCCATTCTCTGCTTGTAATTCAGATGTGTAGATTACTCCGCAAGTAGTTCCGGCCACTCCGGAGCTAGCCACGCTCAATGAACGCAAATAGCAATCAATCAACACAATTAAATGTCCATCCATCCATCCATTTTCTTCCCCTTAATCCATTTCTGGGTCAGGGGGGTAGCAGTCAAAGCTCCTCCCAGTACACATAGCACCAGCCCCTCACTGATCCTCCTGCAGGTGGTGAGTCCACAGGAGCTGAGATCTTTCAGTGGGGGCTTTGGGCAAAGTAGGGTTAAGTGTCTTGCCCAAGGACACAACGACAGCAGTCATCAGTGGGAGTCGTGAAGTAGGTCTTACGGTGGGCTCGAACCCACGACCTTCAGGCCCAAAGGCCAATGCTCTACCAACTGAGCTACTGTCGCCCTACAATTAAATGTTAATCGGAGAATACATTAAACATATAGATTCTTAACACACGTGCACAGAGTTTTTCAGAAGTATCTGTTTAGGTTTTCATGACAAAAATACCGTTTTAATGTGAGAAAATGCGATAGCGAAAAACCCGGAAATAGATTCCGGGACATTTTAGGAACATTTGCAGAGGATCGAATTATGGATTTAGGTAAGGTTTATGTTTGGGTCACTCACCGCTGATGTTCAGAATTCTTTGTTCAGTTTTCATGCAGTTAAAGACAGTTCTAGTTTGGAAGTTGCTAGCCTAACTGTTACTTGCATAGCCACGGGAAAGCCTTTGGGAACTATTTTATTTTCTGTCATTAAATAAACCTTTCGGCATTCATAAAAGTGGACTGAAGTTTATTTTGTGTGTTCTGTTGGTACAAAGCCGCACAATAAGCGGGATAATGTATAATACGCAGGTCATTATCGGTAAATAAGTACCTTCGCCCTGTCGGTACTTATTTTCCGATAATGACCTGCGTAATATACATTATCCCTTACCTATAAAATATCACCAGTTTAGTGCTTCTTGTTGCTAAGCTGCACTAGTAACACGTTGTCACCGAGATTCTCACCTTTATGTAATTTAACATGGATTTAATTTAGTTACAAAACACCTTGAACTAATGACTATTATGAGGTTTTAAATTACATATGAAATCTACAGCAGGTACAGATTCAGATTCAAATTCATTTATTTGCCATTTGCAGTAAAGCCACATTGGGATACATTTGCAGAAGTCCCTAGTGTGCACAAGAAAAGTACAGCAATAAATCGGCTAATATATGGAAATATTTATAATAATCTTGATTGTCTTTTAATCCAGAGACTTTCTAACGACCCTCTAGGTGTATGCATGTGCTGCTTTAGGGTTTTGTGTGTTAGTGGGATCATCATGAGTAAGCCAAAACATCAAATTGATTTATTATACTCAATTGTCCAGAGGGCCACTCAGCAGTCTTCTGAGCGGGAACATTATGCTTGAGGCCTAATCGAGAGCAATTTTATTCCATACACACTACAAGCGAACTGCTGCAGTACCATCTGACTCAGCTGAAGTCCATATCCGGCATCATTATTGAAAAGAACGATCTGTATTCATTGCTTTCATCACTGCGTTCGTTTAAAACTGCACACTTTAAGGCATATGTTTATATTTTATAGATATTAATTTCAGGGATGAGATTGTTTGTTTTATTGATTCTAACAGGGAGGAGCTGGTTTTCTGGTGACGTGAGCATGAGTTTTAGCTTGTTCCAAAATATTGATGTTAAAAGTTCAGACCAGAACCAAGAATTCAAAGAGAATGTTTTTTTTTTTGATCGCCCATATTTTTCTTGCATGTTTTTTTGTTAAACAGTGAAGTCAAATCTAAATATTTGACCGATCACATCCTTCTCTTGTCATCCACTACTTGTTTTACTCTTGAACTTTTGAATGCCCACTTTTGACATAAAGAGACAACCCAGATGTAATATTCCATTTGAAAGGCATCCACATAGCGGTGTTTGGCTCCTTTTTAATGCAGCGGATGGGATGCTAAACTAAGTGATGACAGTCTACTGTCTACAGATGTTTAAAGACCAAAAGTATTGGGCCTTGGGATGTTTTCAAGAACACAAGAAATGCACAAATACCTTTAGTGTTGGACATTGATCATCCTGCTCCAGTATGGACCAATGGCTCCTATGTGTTTTATTATTGCAATTCCTGCGTTCAAATTTTTGATTCTTTGATCTGTGTTGGTGAATCGACAATTTTGTAGCGTCCTTACTTTGTAATGGGTGAAAAGCCCCTAGTGGTCAACTGTGTAGGGTAAAATTTTGCCTGTACTTTTTATGTAATTACGCTGAGGCCATAATCAAATAGCAGAGATGTGAATTTCATCTCTGCAGATCTACGCCTGTGGGTCATCGAAAACACAGAAAACGAAAGCAATATTTGCCACAGTGGTGCACACAAACGGTGCAGAGTTTTGGACACGGTTGGGGAAAATCCCAGTTTGATTATGTTTTCTTCAACTCTCCTAATGGTCTTTCAGAAATATAAAAACAGCCAGTGCTCCATCTTCTGAGAGATTGTGCTGGAGATTGGACTATTACAGATAATAATGAAGAGGAGGCTGAGGTCTGAGGGGAGCTTTGTATCAAAGAAGCCGGTTCCTTTTGTTACTTTGGGCTCAAACTAGTTACAGTATGAAGCCTGCATAGGTCTCACATGACCCTGAACAACTTTTCAAAATAATGAATCTCTGTTGACACATTAAAAAGGAACAAGCATTTTACACAATGTTGCTCTTCTACGCAGAAGCAAGTTCAAGGCAATATACAAAAGTAAAGTGAAAGGGATACATTATTTATTGAACAGTTAAATTCAATCTTGTCTTTATAATATCTTATTGATACTTTGAGGACTAAACCAGTTAGAATTTGAAAACTTGTTTTGCGTTACCCTGTGCCTCAAGAATCATTGCATTATTTTTGATTTCAAAAACTCCTAAAATGATGCTGTGTTTTAACAGATTTCGATACAGATATACAGTATAATGTGTATGCATATAATTGGTGTACACCGGTTCCTCATTGTCATTCATT